AATTTAACAACACATTCACGACGACACAAAATTGAACTTGTAATTCCAATTTATCAATTCGACAAAGAGCAATATAATTCATATAATATATATATATATATATATATTATTAAAGTAAATACACAAAAACAGTAAAAAAAAAATTGCTATTCAGCATTATTAATATAATAAATATAAATATATAAATAAATATTTTTATTATATAATCTTATTTATTGTATTCATTAAATATAAATATGTCAAATATAAACCACACAATTTTCTTTCACACAGAGCTGCTACTTGCCTAGAACCCGCGACAACTGATTACATTGAAAAACCCCAGCCACTTAATGATAATAGACGTTAGTTATTTGATTCTTTTGATTCAAATTTTATTTTTTACTTTACATTTTAGACTCTATAATTTAAAATAGATTTTTTAATTTACATGATTATCTTTTTAAATTTTTTATTGTAGAAATTAAAAAGGATTAAAAAATAAAAATAAAGACTAAAAAGTAAAATAAATAAAATTATGGAGATGAAAAATGTATTTTAACCGATTTTTTTAATGTTGTTTTTGTAGGCATAACACACGATTTTCACTTCACCCTGCTTCAGAACATAAGTGAAATGAAGAACCTATCAATGTTAAGACCACCACGACGTTCACGTGAAAGTACGTTCATTCTCAATTACGCCACTCATCGTACCATACATGGCAAATTGATTTCCAGAGAGTGAAAATACACCCCCAGGTTTAATCAGATTTTTTTATTATTATTTTTTTTGGTTTTCCATAACTTTTTAAAATAGTAATTTTGCATTCTTTTTTAATATAAAGGAAAAAAAAAAAAACAAAATGGTAGTTGAATGTGTAAGGTTTAATTAATTAATCCGTGCCCTAAGTAATCTAAGATTTCCGTCCACCCAAAAAATAAAAAAGAGAAGAAAAAAAGAACTACTTGAAATCTAATTACTGGTACAGACAAATGAATTAACTGAAGCTGAAGGCCTGAAACAGTTCATCTCAATAAATTGATTATAATAAATAAAATCTATTTGATTATAGATTTACAAGAGGAATCAGCCTTTCAGGCTAGAATACAATGAAGATGCAAAAGAAGGGATGGTTTACATTTTACAATGAAAAACAAAACCACCCTCATATTTTATCCTCTCCTCTCCTCACCAATTTATGTCATTCATATGAACAATTTTATTGCACAGTACTCACATCTCTCAATTCTGTATATATATATTTATCGTTTCACTTCACTTTTTGAACCTTTAAATAAAATAGAAAAGGCATTTTCTGTATGGTTTCTTACTTTCACTATCCTGAATTCAATATGCGTGGGAACAAAAATGGTAGTAGATTGCATTTGCTTCTGTTTCACCTTATAACTCATTTGTTACCTATGCTCTCTTCTGCTCATGCTTATTCCGATACTCTCTCATTAGAAGTTCAGCATAGAGAATTTCATTCCACAAATCAGGAACACCCGGAAGGCACCAGTGGCTGCAATCTTGGAATCTCAATGGTGATTTTCTTTCCTCAGGTGATAGATTTTGCTTCCTATATATTGAGGGGTGACCATCTTTTCTGAAATCCGTCATTCTAGTGATGTTTTGGTAGGTCACGCGAGTTTTCATATTCTTTAGCACCTTCTCCAGAACCTTCATCTTATCTGGATACTCATTTAGGTACTTCTCGTTGTCAATTGGATCAGTTTCACTATCACATTGTCCACCTGAATTCCATTGTCCACCACTGCAGTATCAAAGAAACAAAAAATGTATTATAGTGATCATTAAGTCCTCTAGTTCCATAATCTAATGGGTGCTCAAGAAAATGCATTCTTCAACTTGGGAGTAATGAAATTGAAATGATAAAGAGTAATGTCATGTGAAATCAAAAACTAAGTATACAAATCACCAATGCAGCGTAAAAAATTTCATTGTGAATCGATTAGAAATCATCTTAAATATAATTTTTAAAATAAGTATTACAAAAAGTCAATTATTTATTTCATAGATCACAATTTGTGATTAGATAACAGCGTAAAAATCATTATAAAGATTTACATTGTGAATCGATTAGAAATCATCTTAGATATGATTTTTAAGATAATTATTACATATTGAAAACGGTTTTTTCCATAGATGGTACTATATGATTAGGTAACTTTGTAAAATGCAATATGTGTATCCAAATTAAATTCTTTGTAATTTACCTGAAATGGGATGCAGAATAGCCTCTGAAGAAGACCACGGTCTTGGATGGATTTACGTTGGCATCAACCCACCTGCTCCAAGTTGTTATAGCTTTTCGAAATGCCTCAAGAACGTTTAATTCAGCGTACACATGGCTACCTTCTTGGTAATAGTCCTTCCTGAAAATTGTAAAAGGCAATTTATACTTCATGTTGACAACAAGGGTTGTTCCTCTAATCTTGCAACTTAAGAATCAGTTATGAGTAAGTCTACAACTACAGGTACATAATGAAAAAGTATCAATTGCAATAACTCCAAAGGGAAGTTGAATGCTATTACCCTTTAGAAGTTTTATCATGAGTCCACCAGTGACCAGTGTTGAAGATGAGAATATCTGCATCTTTATATTGAGATGAAGATTGACCAACTAAATCGAGACGAAGTGTTTCCTTCTTTGTCCCGTTCTTATCAGTCATTTCCCCTTCTTGAACCAAAAACGGAGACACAAAAAGCTCCGCGGAGAATTTATAATCCTACATGGCCATTCATACCAAACCACCTCCGTGAGGCAAAGAATAACAGATCAAGCCAAAAATGTGGAAAACTAGAACGCACAAGAGTTCAAGGCTCACCTTGAATATAAATGAATACGAGGCTTCCCCTCTGAAATGAACCCTGCCATTGGCTTCATAAACGTTGTGTTTATCTTTCACAGCATTTCTCAATATGCAAATCAGAGACTCCCACATGTTCCTATTGAGCGAATCGCCTACAAAAACCAATCTTTTCCCTCTCAACAAATCCAGCATTCGATGGGCATCCAACCTATAACCAATTCAACCAAATTGAGTGACCCCAAAAGAAATAGAACATAGATCAATTCTAGTACAGTACAAAACATTAAATAAACACCCATCAAATAAAAATAAAAACAAAAACATTTAACATGTATAACTAAGCAACAAATTGAATAGATTTGCATTGCATACCTTGGGAGGCTGCACCCTTTGGGTTTCCACTTATATTTCTGATATTCTTTATCAGGCCTTCCATTCCTAATACAATTGAACTGTTCATCAATCAAAGAGCAAGAATCTGGCTTGTAGAGAGGATATGAATCATCCTTAACCCATTCTCCATCAAAAAAATCACACTTGATCATAGACTCCATCAATTCATCCTTCCCCTTAGAGTGATTGTTCCCATTGCTCTGCTTCCTCGCCAGAGAAGCCGTGTAATTATTATTCGCCACAACACCCTTCACCGAAGAATTAAAACTAGAGTTCTGATGAGGAACACTCTGGAGAGGGGAACTTCGAGAAACACTGGTTGCAGGTGCAGGTGTAGGTGCGGATGCAGTAACATTTGTAGTTTGATTTGTGGTCATGGGGTTAAAAGTGAGATTTTTGACATCAAGGGGTGGTGACTTCACCACCAAAGTTGGTGCGTGAGAAATTTTGGTCAGGTTTGTGCTTGGAATAGGAACAGGAAATGCATCTTGGGATGAATTCAGTAAGGTTTGGGTTTGGTTTTGCAAAGAGGTTGGTGTGGTTGTGTTGGCATTGGCAGATCTAGAAGAGTTAGTGGTGTTTGGGAAAAGGAAAGAGAAAATGTTTGGAATTTGAGGGTCGTAGTTAGCGTCTGAGGTAGATGTTGAAGAGAAGATGTTGGAGAACCAAGGAGAGGAAGCGTTTGGAGAAGGAGAAAAGGCTAAGAAAAGAGTGAAAGCGACGAAGGCGAGCATGGAGGCATAGGCAAAAGCGAGTGTTTTTCTTGTTTTGAGAATGGAGGAGAGGCTCTTGAGGTCTGTGGCGAGGTTGCCACCGCCACCGCCACCACCACCGATGGGAACGTACTTGGTGGCATCAGCCATGAAGGCTGTGTTGGTGTTTGAGTCTGTGTCCCAAGAAAAAAGTAGTGAAGATGAGAGAGAAAAAGGTAAAGTAGTTGACACTATGGCATGGACTCAGAGGTGTTGAGACATGAAGATGAGAAAGGAGTATGAAAGTAAAGAGAGAGGGTGGGGTGGGTGTGGGTGAGTGATGTTAGGCCAATCACAATAACTAAATCTAGAAACTGTGCTTACAATACCCAGCCAGACTATAGAGTCTAAACTCTAAAGCGTAGAGAAAGAGAAAAAGAGAGGGACTCAACAATTAGTGGAACAAATAAAGGAGAGACACGGTGGAAGCATCCACTTTCTTTGCCCACGATTCTTCTTCTCACAATCATCCATCATCGAATTTATATTTTAAATATTACTATTAATCTTACAATTTTAATATAATTAGATTAAAATTATGGCTAAAATTACACTATTAAAAATTAAGAAAATAAATCACAAAATTATAAATTAGTAGTGTTCGTAATATTTGTTGGGTATTTGCGTATAATCATTTGTTATGTGCCTGAACTTGTAGTAGAATAGAGAAATGTGAAATGATGAGAAGAAGAAAAAACGGCCATAATATGTGAATATGACCCATGCTTTGTCAGATTAACTACGCCACTACTGGTCTACTAGAGTGTCGTGTCGTGTCGGTGAAGACGCGTTTGCAAATTCGAATGTATTGGTTTTGCTTCTACACGACACAATCCTTCCGGTGTGTTTGGATACGGTAAAAAAATATAAAAAATTATTTATTGTGTGCATAAAAAGAAATAAGAATGAACTTTAATGGGCTAAATATATTTTAAAGTATTTACCAAGAAAATAGAAGATAATTTTTTATGTTATAATTATAAAAAAGAAATTATGAGGGATGGATCTTTCCAGTATCCACATCTGAGGGCACTGGCACCGTACCGCCAAGACTTCCGTACGTGTCAACGCGTGTCTATTTATTGACGATCGCATTCGCATTGTATTCTACTCAACGGCTTTGATTTGATCTTAGGAACCTTTACTTTACCTCTTCTGCCATGATGCTTGTTTGTTTGAAGCACACGCGCTTTTCCATCGTTGTTGTCGGTTCCTTCCTTGTATTTTAAAAAGAGGTCTTGTGGTTGTGGCTGTGGATATGTCTGCCCCATCAAAATGTCTGGTCCATGAGGTGTTACGATTACAGTCGTAGGCCCACAGCTACAATCGACAAAGTGAATCGCAGTTCGCCAGATCAACCCGTTAATCCATTAAAATTTGACAAAATAGAGCAGACATTTCAGTCCATTAATCCCTCTTACCTCTCTTATTTAACTCCTTCGGCTTCGTTAACCTGTTTGGCTAACTTTTCTCCAGGGAGATAGGTTGCCTTTTCGGACTCTTTAAATTTTAAATATTATTTTTAATTTTCTTTTTAACTTGTGATATTTCCTTACCACGTATTTAATTGTTGTCATGTTAGCTTTCAAATTTTAAAATATCAAATTTCAATCTTGATAAAAAAAAATAGCATTGGAAAAAATAATTTTAATGTAGTTAAAAAAGGAAATAGTTTTTCAATATCTTGATAAAAAAATTTATAATATTCATTTTAATAATGCAATTATGGATGAAAATGTGATAAAATAAAAACAAACAATAGTCGTCCTTATCTATCTCATTTAATATGAATATCTATTTAAAGAGTATTTATGAATTTTTCATATATATATATATATATATATATATATATTGATTTTTGAAAAAAAAAACACGTATAAGTGTATAATATTGTTTTATTTAGTATTTTACTTGGCTTATAACTAAATTTTGATGTTATGCCTAATCTAATTGTCAAAACATATTACTGCATGACTTGACAAAAAAGAGAAGGAAAACTAAAAATTAAACCTCTTAGTTCAATGGTTATAAGGCTTATTTTGAAATACAAGTCCATCTTATATTTTCAAGTCTGATTCTTATATGTGTTAAAGTAATATTTTTTGAGTAAAAATTATATTTTGTGAATACAAATTAATCCTTAATTGTCAATATAAAGACATTATGTGAATTATGTCTATGAAAAAAATATTGAAAAAGGGAATTAATGATGTGAAAAATAATTGCACCTCCACTTATGTATATTTTATTTTATTTTAACTAAATTTTAATGAACATTCAACAACAAAATTCTACAAGCATCACGTAACAATAATTTAAACATGTCCTTGATCTAACATGTTCTTCGCACCTTAGTGCTCGAGCATGGAGGGCTATGTACCGTGGTGGTCTCCCATTGGCTGACCCGAGGCACATCGGCAAAATGCCGAATCCATAATAGGGACTCAAATATGGGGAGATTCACTTGCTCACTCAGACAATCAATAAGATTCCATGATCCGTGGGAACGGTAATAAATACCGGGAGTTACGAGTCCATAATGGGGCGTGCTTTATGGGATCATAAAGAGGCGTGTGCGATTCATGTTTGTAACGCTATACCATTATATATAGCAATGATTAGGTCTAAGAAGTAGGTTACTCTCATCGAATGTTCTAGGTCAAGACTGCTGTCAAGTTCTTTTAGCTCGGTATGGCGGCGGTCTCCAATACTGGAACATTTTGGCGCCCACCGTGGGACAGGTAAAACTGCATCCCACACCTTGGTTTCCTTGTGTGATCGGAAGGTCACGATGCATAGGTTACTAAGGAGCAATAAAAACTATCGAGAAAGAAGAGGCATAGGTATGATCGAGGTTAACCAAAAGGCGTCAAGGAGATGGCATGAGGATAGCATGAGTAAAAAGAAAACATTGAAGGTCACCAAACTTCCATACCAGGTATAGTTTCTAAACCTTGATCTGATGGAGGACACCCACAACAAAGCACAACCACACCAAACCTACCCGCTCTCCCATCAAGCCTCAATTAAACTCTATCCAAAATGGATTAGCCCTTATGGAGTCGCACAGGTCATCGGTAACAGATCTTATAAGCTTTAGACTTTAGATGGCATAACGATTCCCCGAATTAGGAATGAGATAATCCTTTTTTTCATGTATTTGTTTCACTCTTTATTTCACCAGAGTTAGTTTCTCATGTATTTGTTGCACTCATTATTTTACACCATGTTTTATATATGTTTCATATAGGGTACACCCGATTAAATCCATAAATGTGTGACACAAGACCTTGGTGTAAAGAACACTTTAAGGTCGGAATTTAGACGATCAAGACCTTGGTACGAAGAGCACTTTAAGGTCGGCATTTCGACGATCCAAACCTTGGTGTAAAGAGCGCCTTAAGGTTAGAATTTTGACGATCCAAACCTTGGTGTGAAAAGCACCTTAAGGTCGGAATTTAGACGATCAAAACCTTGGTGTGAATAGCACTTTAAGTTCGGCATTTTGACAATTCAAACCTTGGTGTGAAGAGCACTTTAAGGTCAGAATTTAGACGATCAAGACCTTGGTGTGAAAAGCACTTTAAGATCGGCATTTCGACGATCCAAACCTTGGTGTGAAGAGCGCCTTAAGGTTAGAATTTTGACGATCCAAACCTTGGTGTGAAAAGCACCTTAAGGTCGGAATTTAGACGATCAAAACCTTGGTGTGAATAGCACTTTAAGTTCGGCATTTTGACAATTCAAACCTTGGTGTGAAGAGCACTTTAAGATCGGAATTTAGACGATCAAGACCTTGGTGTGAAAAGCACTTTAAGATCGGCATTTCGACGATCCAAACCTTGGTGTGAAGAGCGCCTTAAGGTTAGAATTTTGACGATCCATATATAGATGAATGTTCCCACTACATATATGCACACAAAGAAGAACACACAAACGCTGAGAGAAAAAGCAACCAGGTACAATTTAATGAGTAATAAAGTTTAACATTGGAAACATAAATGTTCAAAAGGAAAGTACCCGCACCAAATTCCTCTAATCAACATAGAAATTTCCCATTATCAAGCTAAAGATCTCAATATCAATTAGGCATTACTTAATCTTCTTCAGCTTTGAAAAGTCTATCAATTTTTTCAAATTCCACCTTACTTGCAGCCAAGTCGCTCTCGAAGATTGGTGCAGCCTCCATGGCTTTATCTGGTAAAATACAGATCCAACATGCTCTTCGCGCCTTAGTGCTCGAGCATGGGGGGCTATGTACTGTGGTGGTCTCCCATGAGCCTCCATGGCTTTATCTGGTAAAATACAGATCCAACATGCTCTTCGCGCCTTAGTGCTCGAGCATGGGGGGCTATGTACTGTGGTGGTCTCCCATGAGCCTCCATGGCTTTATCTGGTAAAATACAGATCCAACATGCTCTTCGCGCCTTAGTGCTCGAGCATGGGGGGCTATGTACTGTGGTGGTCTCCCATGAGCCTCCATGGCTTTATCTGGTAAAATACAGATCCAACATGCTCTTCGCACCTTAGTGCTCGAGCATGGAGGGCTATGTACCGTGGTGGTCTCCTATTGGCCGACCCGAGGCACATCGGCAAAATGCCGAACCCATAATAGGGACCCAAATATAGGGAGATTCACTTGCTCCCTCAGACAATCAATAAGATCCCATGATCCGTGGGAACGGTAATAAATACCGGGAGTTACGAGTCCATAATGGGACGTGATTTATGGGACCATAAAGAGGAGTGTGCGATTCATGTTTGTAACGTTACACCATTATATATAGCAATGATTAGGTCTAAGAAGTAGGTTACTCTCATCGAATATTCTAGGTCAAGACTGCTGTCACGTTCTTTTAGCTCGGTATGGTAGCGGTCTCCAATACCGGAACAGATTTGAACCATCCTATTCACGAACTAAAATCTAGACAATATTATAAAGAAAAATGATTGAGCCTCCGAACACATGACGAAAATCATTCCGAATAATTAAAATAACAAATTAAATAATTATTTTATAATAAATTTATTAAAAATATTATTATTTTAATATTCGGAACGTGATTCAGAATAAGGTATACCATTGCTCTATATTTAATTTCTTGTTTCTCAGAAACCGGTGGTTGATTTTTGGTGCAGTGGCAGAATGCTGCATTAAACTCGCGTCACATTCATTCACCAAACTCATCTCCACCGACTGAAACATTACAACTGTCCCAAGTTTAGATCATGCATATCAAACCAAATGACTTCAATTACCATTCAAACTCTGTCATGTTCCTCTTTGTAGTGTAGAACTGCACTTTGTTTACCAACATTGCAATTTTATCTCTAAATTTGTTTGTCAAGTACACGTGCAAACTGCTCAATTCGCTAATCCTCCTACACACCCTCACAGCAGTGAACACATAGCGCGCGTGCTATTCTTTTCTTTGTTTTAGATTGCTACTGTG